TATATGTGTTATTGTTTCTAGTTGAGTTTTACAAAAAGTGCACATATTATTATCTAATTTACCAATTTGAAATAACAAGTTGTTTGTGGTTAGAATTCTATGATTTTTTCTGAATTGTAACCATTGTAGTTTGGAACTGGTACAGGTATTGAAAGGATATTTGTATATATTTTTCCACGTATCTTCATCAATATTGAAATTTTGATTCCATTTGTTTTGGGCGGTGGGTTCAACTTCATTTTTTGATGGTATATATTTCATGGCCTCTTTTTTTACATCTTAGGATTAACTACTAGGGTAGTATAATATGTTTTTCTGAATCGAAAGCTTGGCGGTTCTTCCTTATGAACTGACCTATAACACTTTTCAGACTCTGATAACTTATTTTTTTAGCACGAATGTTAAATTGTTGACAAAATTCTTCAAATTTGTATGAAGATCTATCTTTTTAAATTAAAAAATGTTGATAAAACATTTTTGGATGAATTCATTCCTTTTTGTTTGTGTTTTATTCCGGAGTTACTTCATGGATCTATTTAAAATTCATTTCACTTTTTAAAATCTATAAGGCCGTTAATCTATCCTGGAAACATAAATTTATGTCTGTTGTTGACTGGGATTGCCATATCATTACCATGACGACTTGACAACAAGTGGATGGCAGATATATTCAACAATAATAATTGGTATGCTATATTTGTTACTTTATTACAGGTATAGGACATGCCAGATTCTGCCCAGCCAGTTCAAGTCTGATGCAGGATTCATCGAGGAATTGGTGCTATTGGTTCATAACAGAAAGTCTGCACAAAGATGCATTGAAGACGAGATGTCAAAATGACGGAGGACTTATATTCACTATAGAGGATTCGACTGTTCAGAGTTTTGTAGAAAGCATTTCTGCAACATTTGGGTAAGCATTTCTATCAAAAAATTAGTCTATATAAAACAAACGATCGATGGTTTCAAAATATAGGACATTACGCTTGTACATTTTCCCACTCTATTAGATATGTGTTTAAAATAAGCATCCCAACGTTTATTTACCGTAAATACAATACATAAGAATCAAGATTAAATTTTTGTGTTTCTGATTTCCGATTATTTTAAATAAATATTATTTCGTCATAACCTAAGAATACATACAAGTGCATACAAATGTAACACATGGCGATCTAGAGGTTGTCAGCCTCTCTTTCGAATACACTCATGCTTCAACCAAATATTTCTTTAACTGCTTGTTCCGCAGTATCAAGTTCCTTAAATAGGGCCGCCTAGTGTTAATTTATAGAGACATAAATACACGGGTTATGACCTTTGTTTTGTTTCTTTGATAGTCGATTCCTGTTAGTGGTCACTTCCAAGACTTTGGTCATGGGTCATTGGTCACGGACAGGCTTTATGTCAAGAATTAAGTGTAGACTTGATCACTGCATAGACGTGAACTTCATTTTTTGTCCTCTTTTCTTCTACCTAATTATTCATCTTCAAAAGGCGTGCTTTTCTATTTTTGTCCTCATTCCTTCTTCATTACAGGTTTTATTTATTCATTCAACCATTCATTCATTCATTTATTCAGTCATTAATTCATTCTGTTTGCGTTTCGTCCTAATCTATCGTTGGGAAGTAATCGGACGTGAACGTTATTTCACCCATTTTGCTCAATATAACTATAGCGAACTCCTTTACCTTTGTTCTAAGCCAACTATTCCTGAGATATCAACAGGTAGCAATATGAGGTTTTATTACAGTATGCCTACAGTTGGATATGTTATCGCCCCTGTCTAAACAGACTGCCAAAGTTTTAAAATAAAAAGTCTGACTAAGAAATTAGACAGGTTGTAGTCATTGTCATAGGATATCCTCAGACAAGTAGTTATGGACAGGGGATATCGACAGACCTATGTTTATTCTGGACAATGGGTATCAATTAATATATATTAAAACTTTATTTATTTTACAACAGTTATGAAACATGTTATTTCAACTTATATTAATCATTCTTCTTGGCCCGGGGTTGGGGATGTGTTGGGTTGGGCCTTAATGTGGGAGGTAACCTGATATCTATTGCCATGGGGAGTTATAGACAGCCTAATGATACTTATTTACATGTACATATTTAAAATTAGGTGGCACAGTTGTAATTATAGACGAAGGAGTCTATAGCAAGGTGGTAGATATAGATTGGGACAGGGAGTAAAAATTGACAGGAATATACTGGTGGTACCCATTGACAGGTGATAGTTATTGACATGGGGATATGTATAGACAAGTGGTAGTTATTGACATGGGGATATTTATAGACAGGTGGTAGTTATTGACATGGGGATATGTATAGACAGGTGATAGTTATTGACATGGGGATATGTATAGACAAGTAGTAGTTTAATCATTGGGATATGTTTAGACAGGTGGTAATTAATGAAATGGGGATATGTATAGACAGGTGGTAATTATTGACATGGGGATATGTATAGACAAGTGGTAGTTATTGACATGGGTATATGTATAGACAGGTGGTAGTTATTGACATGGGGATATGTAATAGACAGGTGGTAGTTATTGACATGGGGATATGTATAGACAAATGATAGTTATTGACATGGGAATATGTATAGACAAGTGGTAATTATTGACATTGGGATATTTATAGACAGGTGGTAATTAATGAAATGGGGATATGTATAGACAGGTGGTAATTATTGACATGGGGATATGTAATAGACAAATGATAGTTATTGACATGGGAATATGTATAGACAAGTGGTAATTATTGACATTGGGATATTTATAGACAGGTGATAGTTATTGACATGGGGATATGTATAGACAGGTGGTAGTTATTGGCATGGGGATATGTATAGACAGGTGGTAATTAATGACATGGGGATATGTATAGACAAGTGATAGTTATTGACATGGGGATATGTATAGACAAGTGATAGTTATTGACATGGGGATATGTATAGCAGGTGGTAATTATTGACATGGGGATATGTATAGACAGGTGGGAATTATTGACATGGGGATTTGTATAGACAAGTCGTAGTTATTGACATGGGGATATGTAAAGACAGGTGGTAATTATTGACATGGGGATATGTATAGACAGGTGGTAATTATTGACATGGGGATATGTATAGACAAGTGGTAGTTTTTGACAAGGAACATATTCAGGCAAACAGAAGGTGTAGACAGGGGATATATAAAAACAGACAGAACAAATGTTATTGATAGGGTTGTTAATAGACACGTAGTAATTATTATCACTTGGCAGTTTCTGTTAGGGATTATCTATCGACACATGGTAGATACATGGTAGATGTATGGTTAACATATGGTAGATATACAACATGATAATTAGAGACAGGTGGGAGTCATGCTAGGGGTTATTTTAGACAGTTGGTAAGAACTGACAATGCAATCTATAGAATATTGGTATATATAGATGGTATATCTATATACATAAGGTAGATAATGACAGAGATTATATACAAGCAGGTAGTATGCATTGAACAGTGGTGTCTATTAACAAATAATACTTATAAACAGTTGGGAGTTACAGACAATAAATATCTAAAAATTACAGACAATAAATATCTAAAGATAATATGTTCTTTATTAGATAATCATGTAAGTTATCAGTTTGACGATAATGCACAGTGTTAGCATACACTTACAGTTTTCTAACGTTTTTAGTGCTAAATCAATCGATATGATGTGGGTAAATTATCATATACCGAACTCAACCACGTTCGAAGGAGTGCCTCTGTCATACACAAACTTCAACGTTACTACCGGAAGCAATGATTGTGTTGGTATTCAAGTGAAAACACAGCCATATACATGGCAGAGGATCAGCTGTGAACATGCTACAGGAAAAGGGATATGCTACAAGGTATTGAGTAAGTACTATAACACAAGGTATTGAGTAAGTATTATAACACAAGGTATTGAGTAAGTTCTATAACACAAGGTATTGAGTAAGTACTATAACACAAGGTATTGAGCAAGTACTATAACACAAGGTCAGTCAGGCTCAGGTATCATAAACTACCAATGTACGTAAACTGCATATCTGTCATGTTTCGTGTCAATATATTTTTACAAAGATAACTAAATCACTAGAAGCACTTATTCCCATCCTATTCTAGAGAACTAGCTTGGCCATTATGTTTCATTTAAAATATATCAATATTCCAGAAAAATGGAAATCCATGTCTAAAGTATTTTGAAATACACTGCAAATGGGAAAACCTTTAATAATGTTACACATTTAGTGTTTTGATCAAAAAACATGTATTTGTCAACCTGCATTTAAAGTAAAACAAGCCAAAAAGTCAGTAATAAGGGTACGCCGACATTGGGGGCCAATACTACACCGACTGATCAGATCACTTTGTGACGTAAGATAATCTCTAGAAATAAAAAATAAAGGAAGGGCCTTTTCAAAAGCTATTAATCGATACACAAAACCGAAGAAAGGAAACAGTTTTTCTTTTTCATATAAGACTTCTGAGGGGTTTTATTCTGTACATATTAGATTCATAACATAATTATTTGTTAACGTTGGGATTAAAATTTGTAACCTGTTACAAATTTGCACCTTTATGCATCGGAATTACTTAAACAATATAATGCTACGAAGTTTATATATATTTCTAGTGGTAATGCCATACTAATCTACTAAATGGGTTTATTATATTTTTCATTTGGATATCTCAACATTCAAACAAAACGTGCTTACCTGCAATGTCACAAAAATGCAAATCTCCCGCGTTTAACATGTATACAAATTACAGTCAAGCCACCGAAGTCAGGGTAAGCAAATAGCATATGTTATGCTTTGCTCTATATACATATTACTATCGTTGCAATTCGATGAATCCTTTTTGTACCCTACAGATTGTCCACCCCAATCGATGTTCGTGCTATCATATGACTTATGCTTCTGGACAACAACTGTCCGCAAAACAGCACTGGAGGGTCACTATGAATGTATGGCAAGTGGTGGTGGTCTGGCGGTCATACCAAACGATGCGGTCAATGAGGAAATAAAGAAAACTCACAATAGCAAAATAGAGTAAGTTTTGCAGATTATAATTCATATAAAAGGTGTAGAATACAACAAAAGACAGTCGCTCAGGGTCAAACCAAGAATAACATATTACCTGTCTAATTATTCATTGAGCTAAAAAGAAAGTGTCCCTAGCGAAATTCAGTAACGAGGGACTTGCTTGTTTACCATTGCGACATATCCCCACCTTTTGGATACTCTTTCTCAGTCATTTCTTAGCTACGACAACGCTTGTGAGAGCCAAAGGTTAATGGCATTCGTACAGAGTACCGACTTTCAAACTCTGGGTGCCTATGTTACACGGCATGTTTGTCTGTTTCTGTTGATTGATGTAAGATTTAAAAAAAAAAAAAAGATATACTATATATCAGTTTTATTCTCACAGGCGTAACCTTAAACAACCCAAAATATGGAGATGACTGTTTGAAATAAAATAATACAGAGTCTAACTTTATTTATACAACAAGTGAACATTTATACGGAATGATCTATTTTGAATATCATACCTAATTAATTTACGGGCAATATTTTGTCATACAATGGTTTAAAGTAATTGAATGTCATTACGGCAACTTAACAGGTTAAACCCTAGCTTTGAAAATGATATGATATATTAATATATAATTTAGCTGTGACTACGTGTACACTCCTCCTGTTGTAAGGACTCGTACAATTTACTCGCATTAAAATGTTGTATACTATATGTCACAACTCTGACACACGCATTTCAATATCATGGGTTAAATGATGTTTTAGATTTGCTGCCAAATTACCTGCAATGATTATTCTTTTAATACACATAATACACAATAATACGCTCTACCTTAGTCTTAACATACAAAGGGGTGGAATGCACTTGAGCTACATTCAAATTTATACAGAGCCCCATCTTTCTATCATGTTACTAACAGGCACATCCAGCACAAGAACTGTATATTGCTACATTAATACGTATTCACTTAGATTTGATTTTGGTCTGATGTGATCACCTGACATTTGTAGCTTTACCAATATTTTTTTATAGATATTGTTTATGTTAATACCAAAGGGATATACGTTAACGTTGATATAAATGTATATATAATATGCTGACGTCAATAATATTATTGATATAAAGGTGTTATGCCAATATAATTAGATATACATACGTTTGTACCACAACATTTATTCTTCTATCCCTCGAAAGAGAAACATTGAAGGTAGGTGTTTAAGTTAATTAATGATATACCAAAGATGTCGAGAGTTTTTTTATATAAATATTCCTATTAACTCATAAGTGCTAAGCAATCGAAGATCAATACCCCAATCTGGTGTTGTGGTTAAAACTTAAATTCTTTCTTAAGTTAAAACAAATGCAGTTGAGTTTTTATATTCCGATCATCACAGCTGATAAATACATTTTACGATATAGAACCACTTTATATTACATTTACGGGTTGGTTTGCTGACACCGTACCATATCACTTTATAAATGTTAGAGTCATCGCCTCTTGAACATTTGTCCTTTTTGGTTATTGTTTCTTCTCAGTCACTGTTAATATCTTTTCACTTTAGTGTGGATCTGCTGTATTTATTTTCCAATAATACAAATTGTATTTAACTCGAAGTATAATCATCCCTCGTGTTATTTTCTGATTCCGTATAGTAAAAACAACAACACAATAATAAAGACATACCACAGTCGTAGCATGATATGCAGTAAGAATATACCAGTCTGTATAGCAGGTAAACCGTCTCCTGTTACACCTGCTTAGAAACCCTGTCGCGGGCCCAACATTTCTCATTCTATCATTGGCTTATTTCGGCGATCCACTAAAACACTACTCTTACAAATATATATGTATATGTCCCACTAGAAATAGGAATAAATAGAACATCTATGTGAATGTTTTTTAGGATCATAAAGCTTTACAAAGTCAACATTATAGCACCATATAGTCATTTCGTTGATTCAGAATCCAACAGTGGTCAAAGTGGTGAAAAAAACATGTTTGAATACTACCGAAACATTGGTAGAATACAACGAAAAGGAAAATGTGCCAAGAAAACCCCTTGCTTATGTGACTGGTTTACAACGTTTGGATACAACAGATAACTTGTACCTGAATTGGTATTTCATGTAAACCCTGAACGCCAGAATCAATAATAACTACAAAGCTATTGCCAATCTCGGGGACTGATAGTACATAAGTATTATAAATAATGTTGTTACGTAAAATAATCATTAGAAATGCAAAAAAGAAATGAAGCATATTTTTGAAAAGGAAAATATGAATTTAAAGTTTTGAGAAACATAAGAAAATAAAAAAACGATACATAAGTGTTTGAAAAAGACAAAAATCCATATGAACGAACGAGATAGATAAATGTTATACATGTAGGCTTTGTCAGAAAAACACATATCATTTTTTTCTATGTTTCAGAACTGCACACAGCAGCTATGGTGGAAGCCACAACGTCTGGCTAGGAGTAAATGACATATGTACAGAAGGGGTGTACGAAACTTTTGAAGGTGTAAATGCCACCTATTTAAGCTGGATGTCTGGACAACCTAATGATAAGAGTCTACCTGGCGATTTACAGGACTGCACCATTGCCCGACTAAGTGACAGCCTTGATTGGCACGATAAGGATTGTACAGCAATTCTGAGGATATCGCTGTGCTCCAAAAATCTTAGTTAGTTCTGTCTGGTATATTGTTCTCATTTGAGACAAATTAATTAAGTTCAATTTATCTGATTTTTGTTACATTAAGAAAACTACAAAATTCAATTTACCATTTGTATAACTTTAAAAACACTTTGTTACGATAAACATACAATTTGTGTAGCCATTAAATTAATTGGTCTGAAAATAATATATTTCCAACGTTAACGAATTTCTTCAACGGTATCACACATTTCAAATCAGAAATAATCATCAGATAAATTTAATTTTCAGTACTTAAATTCAGTGAACGTTTTATTATGTATGTCGCATGTCTTTGAAACAGCAATAGTGTTCGTTGTTTGTTTAAAAAACATGCGTCATGTGATTGGCATTTTTATGTTACCAATAGAAAATTTAAAAGCTTTCTGTCTTGTCCAAATTGCAATATTACCGAGTCAACAAAGCATCATTTAAAAAAATACAAAACCATAAAAAAAATCTTGATTCAGAATTTAAAAATTTACAATATTATTTCAGACTCGACGGACCCACCGGCGATGAATGTTGGCTGCCTTACAACCACCACCCCTAGCACTACAACATCACCAACAACGACCTCTATAACAGCAACAACATCGACAACAACACTTACCTCAACGACTAGCTCGTCAACATCAACCCCCACTACAACAACATTGACAACATCAGCCCCTACCACAACAACATTGACAACATCAGCCCCTACCACAACAACATTGACAACAACAGGCCCTACAACAACAACATTGACAACAACAGCCCCTTCAACAACAACCATAGCAACAACGCCAACGGCTTTACCAACAAATGAATCATCAGGTAGGACAACATTGTTACCATTTAATGATATTCAAATAATGTGCATTATAATATATGTAACACGTGTTTTAGACGATAGTACAGTGTATATGCGCTTGAATGTTTTATTTCCAAACAAACCATGTAAGTGCAAAATCCCTCCCCACATTGTAAATGTAAACAAGCGAGCCTATGGCCTTGTTTCCTTTTTTGAGTGGGGGTACACGTAACCTTTTGGATATATTTCGAAATTTATTTACGGACCAAAAAACTGTTAAACCTCTAGGCCTACTAAAATTTTGTCATGATCACAATCAGAATGTTCCGTCAAACTTAACATGAAGGTGATTTGAAATCGTGTTTGTAAGGCTATCAGATGTAAATGTCATGTGAAGACACCACTTACGATAGATTGATGATTTTTATCAGTTGACACGCATACCTATGGTTTCTTTATTCGGCTGACGATAAAAAATAAACAATGACGACATAATTTAGCATTTTTTCCAACTCTTCCAACTACCTCCTGTACACATGTAAACAATGGTCGGTGGGACTGGTTTACTTTGTCGAATGGGAGTACATGCATTCATGTTGAATATTTGATTATTTGCTAGCGTAGAATCAAACATCTTTGCAATTTATTTCACACCTAAAACCTGTAAAGCTCAAGGTCAGAATTTTACGCCAAACTGACTGCGAAAGTAGGACATGAAATAGTGTTCGTAAATTCTGTCAACTTTTGATTTATGTATTGACGATCGATGTCGATATAAAGGTAGTTTTGAATGATTTGAATAAACGTCTGGTATAAAGCATGACGTCATTAAATGTTAATTGTTTAATGTCTGTCGGCAAAATAGCGACTGGAAGTACAAAAATGTATCTCAAACGTATCCAGGTTACAAATACTCAATAGGACAATCGTCCACATGGTCAGAAAGTATGAAGCTTTTTAACTACTATTAATGACAATATGGAATGTTGCTAGTGAAAAAAATGAAAGATAACAGTCGTAATCTTACAGTCACCAGGTCATTAGGTATGATTGAGAGATGTATACATATATTTCTTTAGCATTTAGTAGTAATTTATATTTCCTTAGCTTAATACACTAATACTGATTAATTATCTGTTTCAAGCCCTCAACTGTCTGTGCTCCTCCGTAACTAAACCTAGGAACGAAACTGTTCCACTTGACCAGATAACAGAAAAGATTAAAAAGGAAATGCTGATTGATGTGAAAACTACATCAGGTATTCCAACAAAACAATAAACTTTTACACTGAATTATAAAGTGATTTACACCTATACAAATTTAACTTGCACCAATGTTTATTGAACTATATTAACTTATATTAATGATAATAATCCATCATCTGTTCAGTAAACACTATATGATATTTTTTTGTCATGTTAACAATTTTTTCACATATTTAATTATGATGCCTATATTAATATAACTCGTACCAAGGAGTGCATATTCCTTACACAAGAATTGTAGTAATTGAATACATAGCAAACACTAAAATTGATAGGCAATCTGTAATATAATAAACGTTTCAATTGTAATATACGTTTTTATCTGATTTTTTGACAGCTTACAAACGATCTCTGGTTTGTGCTGAAGACCCACGACCTTCCTCACAGTACATTGGCGCCACTGCCGCCTCTATGATGGTGGTGATCGGATGTGCTATTATACTACCAGACCTTGGAAAGGTTGTCATGGCAATAGTGAAATTTTTCTCCAACTGAAAAATGAAGTTGTGCAAACAACGATTGATAATCACAGTTGAATGAGTAATCGTTACTTCAAACGAAAATATGGAATAAAGAAAGAAAGAAAGATGAGGACCTTTCTTAATCATCTCTTGAATACAAAATCATTGTACATTCGGTAAAAATAGCATACATGTTATATGCAATGATATGATTAAAGTCAGTAATGTGTAACACCTACCCTTCGACAGGACAATCAGAAATCTCGATCGTGTAAATTGTTGGTATTCTGCTAGACCTGTTTTTTTTCCTTGGATGGTCCTGTTTTCTTTAAATGTATCGCCCCAAGCATAATCGATGAGTCCTAGAAGGACGGAACAGCTGTGTGATGCACTGTGAGTACTGTTTTGGCAGACGGTACCTATAATTTAATTTTAAATGATCAATCATCTGTGTGTGTGTGTGTTACGTTTATCTTAAGACCCCTCCGCACTTTCATCGTGGCCAGCAAGTTAGTATCATACTTCATGATCTCAGTAACAAAACCAAAATGTTTGCTAGATAGAATTGTTATTTTTCTATAGAATATGGCACACAATCATGAACGAAAAAGAAAGTATCCGGATGGTGCTTTATCTGATTTTCCAAATATTGTTGGCGGTGTTAAAAACATGTTAGTATCATCTTTATAAAAAAAGATGGGTTTAGATAAGATAAGTAATGAATATTAATGTAGATCAGATCAAACCCTTCGCTGATAAATCATATTACACGTATTTGATCGTTTATGCTAGGCCGCCCAGTAAGTATTGATGTAACCGATTTCGTTTAAGTAATATAATAAGTGATAGATGTAACTTATTGATTATTACTGCAAAGAAATTTATAAAAACCATTAAAACTTTGAAGGATTGACACATTGATGTTGTAACATATCGTAGAATAAGTCTCAGTTACAGGGGTTTCGACTAATTTGGACTTCCACCATTTTTGGCCCGTAGCATCACATTTACTACTAGAAGGACGAAACAGCTGCAAGGCGCAGTGTAATGTATTCAATTGTTACATTCACATGTGTGCGTGTTACGAACATTGACATATACATACATATATAAATTAAGCATAATGTTCTTCAGATAGTGATTTTCATGCAATTTACATGTGTAGAACAAATGTACCCGATTGATTATTATTGCGCCGGATTTGTAATACTTAAGCAATTCATGTCTAAGCACATGTTGTTATGGTCCTATAACACACATTGCTGTTGATGACAAACTTAATACAGCCGAGGGCTTTATGTAAGTTTTTCAGTAATAGATATGTGTGTTATAGGACCATAGCTCTATTTGCTAATATATTCATTGTTATTATTTGCATTTTGATAGAGAAGTTACATGTATGCTTTATTTAGTTATTTCGCACATTTCTTTGAACAGCGTATTTGTTGAGAACAACAGAATTGATAACGTCCAAAATGTATTCGTAATGTGAGATTATGTATCATTTCGTATCAGCGTAATAATTTCGCTGGTTTGTCGTTGCATCCCCGATATAATATTTCGGTAGATGTTTCGTTTCCTTTCCACTTGAATACATGTTATTTGTTTGTATTGTTTTAAGGCTCCGAAATAACAAACTGTCATGCTTTCTCCTCTGTAAAACTATCCTGTCATTTTGCTATGCATGTATCTATGTAGTGAATGTTGTTACAATTCATGGCCTATCTGATACGTATATCCATTCTGTTTGACTTGTGTCTACCCGACATGGCCTATCTGATACGTATATCCATTCTGTTTGACTTGTGCCTACCTGACATTACCTATCTGATACGTATATCCATTCTGTTTGACTTTTGCCTAGCTGACATTACCTATCTGATACGTATATCCATTCTGTTTGCTTGTGTCTACCTGACATTACCTATCTGATACGTATATCCATTCTGTTTGACTTGTGTCTACCTGACATTACCTATCCGATACGTATATCCATTCTGTTTGACTTGTGCCTACCTGACATTACCTATCTGATACGTATATCCATTCTGTTTGACGTGTGCCTACCTGACATTACCTATCTGATACGTATATCCATTTTGTTTGACTTGTGTCTACCTGACATTACCTATCTGATACGTATATCCATTCTGTTTGACGTGTGCCTACCTAACATTAAAATAGTGTATAAACTTACAAGTGTTTGTTCAATTATTGTTTTCGTTCACACCATATATGTATTTTCGTGTTGAATAATTAGTTATGAGTTTTATAATTGTGACAAGAATAAAAGCTAAATCTATAAAAGTATATTTGAAGATAATAAACCTATATCATTTATAACTTTGTAAGGACACTTTTTCTTTAATCGAACAAATCTATGACGTTGGAGACATATGGACATTTTAATTATATTGTACATACAATTTCGGAACGGTTCTTTTGTAATGCATTTGGTTATTTTTCTCTTTGAAGTCTGTAGTGTTTCCTCAATGCTATGTCTATGCGAGGTTTATTCAAATATACATTGAATAATTGAAGAACAGATCCATTGTCACACTTATCTAACACAAATATTTGTAATTATCAAAATAGAAACGACTGTATTTACTAATTAAATAGGATAAACGACTGTATTTACATTTTAATAAGAGAAACGACTTCAAACACTCGGATCGATTTGTAGTTTAGATCAACTAAAGTAATTAAATTATCAAAGGCAAATTAAAATTGCTCGATGTCTTAGATTTCAAATACAGGTCAAAGAAAGAAAGGTTGAATTGGGTTAAGTTATTACGTAAAAAATATACCCTTATCGGACACAAGGAAATCTGGCAGAAAGGATCTTTTAACAGACATCATTTCTGAGAAAACACATTCACTTTGTTCTCGTTATCATTGAATTGTTTAATAATTTTACCAAAAGTTCAAAAACAACTACAGAAAACTGCAGGCAATATAATACAGAAGTCCTCTGTACAGTAATCTTCCATTCCTTTTATAGTGGATATAACTGAAGCACGACCGGACTAGGGTCCTACCATCGACCAGGTAATACAGTGTGTAAAAGTGACAGTTTAATATTTTGAGATCAATGCTTCGAGTCCTGAACAAGCATGGGATATGGAAACAGAAGGGCAGGCCTAACACTTGTAAAATATAAAGTGTACTCAATGTACTCAATGTACTGATATTGTTAAACTTGTTATATATTACATAGTCTTTCCAGTTGTAGAAATGAAGATTTAATCAACTAGCTGCACCCTACATACTTTGTGGTTTTTTTTCGTTTTTATATAACATTGTTTACATGTCAGTTGTGAATCGTCCATATCGAGTATTTACTATGTATATATGATATGTTTCACAGAGCCATATTGTTAACTAAACAACTGTCTAAAAATGTAATCCTGGCTTAATAAAGTAATTCATTATTATTATTATTATTATTATTATTATTATTATTATTATTATTATTATTATTACGAGTGTTACCTTGTGTTGGATTATAGCACATCAGTGTCTCAATACATACGGTATTAATCTGTTAATGTTCGATAAACGTCTGTTTATAATTACTGTCCTGATTATGTTGTGAGCTATTTCCGGGTCACGTTCTCGTATCAAGTGCGCTTCCGGTTACGTCATAAAATGCATTTTTTTTTTGATATTTATTAATAAAAGATAGTTTAAAGAATAAACTAGTTAATCAAACAAATATCAATACATTGCAAATATTATTTTCTTGAATGTTTGCGAAGCAGACGACGTTTGATCATAATCTGGAAACTAGAACATTTTTTCCAAAAAAATGTGTTTTAACATTTGAAAGAAAAAAAATTGAAGGGGAAAAAATAAATTTGTTCTTTTATGAATTAATGAAAGTGATACAGAAAAGAAATATAGTAAATAACTGATAGTAAATTTATCAAAAACATCATCCTTAGAGAGTATGTTCTGGGCATGATCGTTTAGAAGCTTTGCAATACTTTAAACTCTTTCAAACGCGCATCAGCTCGAGATTAGGTCCTGTTTACAAAATGGCGACTGGAAGTAGCAAGGCGGATTAAATTGGAATTTAAATTGCGTTTATTTCGGCAAGTAAGCATTGTTCACAAAGCCCATGTGGTCTGTTCATCTAATTTAGTCANAACAAGCTAACCGGTAATAAGATTTATATATATACATATTTTAAATGCCGCCGTGACTATTCTCCATAATTATGTTTATTGAAGATTTAAAAGAAACTGTGGTTAGGTATACATGTAGCAAACACTAGTGAAAGCAGTGTTGTTTTTTTTTATAAAAGCAATGGATAAAGTCTTGAGTGTAATCAGCCCAACAGAACTCAAAATATAAGTAGTGCATTTTATAAACTGATTCTCTATTCATATAGTAACAGTGATAGAGACCTAACCCCTGGGCCTGAAAAGTTATCCCGGGCAGACACTTTCTTTGAGGAAGCACTGTATAAAGTCAAGAATGTAATCAGCCCAAGAGAAATTAAGATATTGTGCATTAGTGCGTTAAACAGATTTTCTATTTATAGTGACCCATTGACCTTTGACCACTGGACCTGAAAAGTTATCCCAAGCAGGCACGTTCTTCAAGGAAGGACTAGATAAAATCTGAGTGTAATCAGTCCATCAGAATTCGAAATACAGTGCACAAACTGATGTTCTATTTATAGTAAGTGACCTTGACCTTTGATATCAAAGGCTGAAAAGCTATCTAAAAGGTTAAGCAAACATTTTATTACACTGCATAAAGTCCATGTATGCACACACACAAGGTTCTACACTTAAAGTTGATAAGTTGACTTTAATATTCATATGTTTGTTCTGTATGTTATTACCATCTCCATAACATATTGGATGAAGTTGATGATTTTCTATATATAGCAACAGTGACCTTTGCCTTGACCTTGGAACCCTGAAACACAACAATGTTATATTATATCCCCCTTGGGAGCCAGAGTTTATAAGAGAGACTCTCTGTTAAACGGCATTCAGTCTTCTTATCCAAGTAATGCTC